GCGGAGATGTCTGCAGGCGTGGAGGTATCCGTGCGTATGTCATCACGCATGTCACAAGTCGTGTCCGCTTGCGATGTCTTGGTCGTCGCGGTGACCGCCGGCGCTGGCGTCTATGGAGCACCCCGTCGTATGCGGAATATGCTCAAATTCTGCGAGAGTATTGCATCTGTAAGATAAACTTAATACCATGCATTTTACAACAATAATCAACAAATCTCATCACAATAAAGATCATTCATAATCACTTGAGGCTCGAAAGGGTGTTACGGAAAAAGGAAAACACAACAATAAATTTATTTTCCGATTTTAAATTAATAATATTTCGAAATTTTAATATTACAATGCAAATTACAAATGTTAATATACATACCAAAGAGAAGAAAGAAGGTCGACCCTAAAAGATAAGGACAGATAAAAGAGTTAAAAAGAAAACGTATACTTAACTTTATCGCTTTTAGGTGGACCACAGCATTGGAGCGCAGTACTCGCGCGTAACGGAACGCAAACTGTGCGCCATACTCCTTGCCATTCTGATATTCTTCTCCATTCTAATCGCTGACGACTTTTGTTTCTATGCGCTGCAAGCTACCAAGTACCAAAGACAATGTAAGTTCCATTAAGAAGTATTTTTATATTGGATTCAGTTGTAGTCAGTTCAGTTAAAGTGAAGTCTACTCTACATGCCAAAGAAATGAAATGCTAAACCTCCCTTTTGTCAGCCCTTCTTAGTGAGGAATTACTAGTACCTTACTACGCTAGAACAATCAGTCCAATTGTGACGAGCGTCGGTGGCTCAGTGGTCAAGCACTTGACTTGCAATCTGCAGGTCCTGGGTTCGAATCCCAGAATAACCAGACGTTCTTAGAGTGAAGGAAAACATCGTGATGCAACCTGCACATATCTGGGAAGAAATTCAAGGAAATGTGTGAAGTCAACCAACCCGTACATGGCCAGCGTGGTTGACTATGGCCTAATCACCCTTAATCAGGGTAGGCTCCAAGCCCCTCGGTGGGTACGTATAGTGAGCTGATGATGATGATGATGATGATCTGTGAATTAATTCTCAGGCAGGTTTCCTTACGATATTCTGCTTCACTGCAGGAAATATTAAAAAAAGAATAGGTTCATGTCGAACACTAGATTACGAATCTTAAATTGGATTTGTTGCAGGGAACGTGGTGATAAATTATATAGGTTTCTACGTACTATGGTACGTGGCTATGATTCTGGAGCTGCAGTTCGCCTTCACAGCGCTCTCTGTGCGCGCGAGGTTTCAAGCTGTCAACAACGCACTGGCCCTAACTGCCAAAATTGTATCCGCTCCTGGTAATTTTTAGCTTACTCTCCAGAGAAACATTGAGTGGAAGTATAGAATCCCAGTGTTTTCATTTGGTTGTAATTTATCAATTGATTTTAAAAAAGAAAATATATCCAAAGGGAATCTTATATTTTCAAGGATAAATCAGCATAAGTTACATTCCTCTTCTAAACTTTATCCAAATCCGTCCTAGTTACTGTGTAACCAACATGCAATGTTTTGCAGTTATATTATTATTTATATTAAAGCAATCTGTAATAGTTTTATATAAAGATTCCAAAATGTTGAATTAATATTTATCGCAGTAAAGAAAATGTACGAGCCGCCGCCTTTAAACGTGCTAGCTATCCGTATGGCGGCTACCGAAGCGCGGCGCTGTGCCAACGTCAGCCTGCTTGTTGACACACTGCACGACCCCGATCATAGCGTCATCATTCGGAACACAGGTTACAATTTTTTTATGGAAAAGAATATAAAATCATAATCTACTTCGCGTGATTCGAATCCTTATAAAAATAATTAGCAATAATGCAGCTTAGTTTTATTGCTGTTTATAAAATGACAGGTGCAATAGTTTTGTTTAAAAAGGTTGTCATTCAATTGACATGCATTGAGATTTTATGATTTTTAAATACCGCTATACAGTAATTAAACCAGACATATAACGACGTATGACAGCTATTATTCAACATTGTACAGTAACTGGAGAACCTCGGCTGGTGGTCCCACCATGTGAGGCTATACGCCGGCTGGCGTGCTTGCATGGCGCGCTTTGCGACGTCGTGCACGCCCTTGACCGCAGCTACGGTCTGCCGCTCATACTGATACTTATATCCACGCTGTTGCACTTGATTGTCACACCGTACTTCCTGATTATGGAAATAAGTAAGTGAACAACATAACATTATTAAAGTCTTTATAACTTGTGTACATTTACTGCTTAAGTATGTGGTAAAATTCAATTATGTCACAATTTTAAGGCTTTATACCAATACTAGCTGTCGTCCGCGACTCCGTCCGCGCGGAATTAAAAAAAACTTAATGAGTAGCCTACGTGTCCTTCAAGACTATGTTCTACATCTTTGCCAAATGTCATCAAAATCCGTTCAGCTTTCAAACATCCATCTATCCATCTAAACTTTCGCAATTATGATATTAGTAGGATTTACGGCGTTTATCGGCCTATTTTGATATTCAGATGGAAACAAAATCATCTAATTATGGTAAACTGTAATTTTTTTACACAACTAGTGCATCGGTTTATTGATAATGCTTTGTATTGCAGTCGTATCAACGAATAGAATCCACTTCCTGGTGCTGCAGTTCCTGTGGTGCGCGACTCACATGCTACGAATGTTTGTTGTCGTCGAACCATGTCACTACACTATTACCGAGGTAAAAAGCTTAAAAAAACTAAAAAAACTACAAACTATAATACTATAACATTATATTATATAAAACTCCTAAAGAAGAACAAAGGATAAACTATGATATTTTACTAGGCTCACTTCTATCTACTTCACATCACTACTACCACATCCATTCCATCTACTACATCACTACCTTCCATCAGGGTAAGAGAACAGAAGGTCTGGTCTGTCAGCTAATGAGATCAGCGCCATCTAACGGTAGCCTGCCGTCACGACTGGAGGTGTTTGCTCGACAACTCATGTTGCAATCTGTGACGTACTCGCCGATGGGAATGTGCACTCTGGATAGACCTCTTGTAGCTTCCGTAAGTGTTTTCTTTAATTCAATTATATAATATAATATTCTTCACTATATATACTAGGAGTAGAGAAACGACAGTGGATTTAAGAAAGACAAGAGTCTACTCTGGGGGCCTTACTACTTATGTGAGGTTTGATTTGTTCTGAGGGCCTTAAGCCCCTTCCGGTGGGCTTGAATCCCAACCTAGAGGGCTATGTCCTCTTAGATTATACAAAAACGATAAAGCATACAAACTTATTACTCTGGTTGGCTAAAAGTTTTAAGGGAATATTTTTTTTTTATTCCAGGTACTCGGTGCGGTAACAACTTATCTAGTCATTCTCATACAATTCCAAAGATACGACGCTTAGATACTTACGAATTATTGTACAGATAATATTAAATATTAAGTTTTTTTTTTATCGTTTTTAGTCGACGATTACATCTTTCTATAACTTGATTGATCTGCAAGTTTTTGTAATAAATGTCTAAATTATGAATATTATTCTTTCTTTAATCCTGTTACAACAATAAAATAAAATGCGGCGTCATTAGTCGATGATCTGGGCTAAGGAGTATAGGCTGGTTATAAAATTCTTTTTTTTTTGTAAGGCAATGCTTTTTGACATGTGGTATTTTTAACAACGCAGACAAGTAATTTTTAGTTATCTATTTGAATATATTGTAATATTTTTATATCCATTTTTAATTATTGTATTCTAAAACAGGGCAGCGACTCGCCCACTTCTTTGCGACGCCCTAAAACTCGTGGTTATAAGGTAAATGAAAAAATAAAACTCAAAATTGTATATTTTATTAAGATAAAAGTTATTGTTAT